AATTGTCCTATGTGTGGTATTGGTCCGAACGCATCACCTTCTTGAAAAACCAATGCTAGTTATGTCGGTGCTCCTCTTAAAGCCTATAAAACGACAATTCATGTCACCAAATCCTCAAACACATCAGGTTCCTCCAAGGCAAAGGGACAATGTGCTTTCCATTTTTTGTGAAAAGGAATGTTTTCATGTAGCCATCACGATTTGTGTAGCGATTGTATTGCCAAGAACCGCCTAATAGAATGTGACAGGCATCCATAAATAATACGCCACATCATAATTGTGCATGAAACTTATCTCTAATAGAAAACTCCACGAGGCATTTCTTGTCAATGATGATCTACTCCCCTTCTTCTACTAGATCAAATAACATGACTGAGAAAGCTTCTGAGTTATGGAGCTCAATTTATCTACTCGCTATGTAGACTCCACATTTTCACAACCACCGCTATCGATATGGAGATTGCATACCTGCTCCTACACAGTACAATGTGTACAAAAACTGTTATGGCAGAATTAATGTTACTTTCTCATGGGCTTAGTCTAAAGGACTCACCGGGTTATTAACATTTCTATCTCGTTTGCGGATAGCTAGAATTCCTTTCAATTCTCCTACTCTGAGTCTTCACCCACTGTCTCCTCTAATGCATCCTGCTCGGTGAAATATAACACTTCTATTTGAGCAATCAGGTGTAATGCACCCAAAATCATGAAATATAAAATACTTCCTAGCTGGGATGGACTTTGGCGTGCTAAAGGTCTACAACTTGTCTCCACTCTGAATTGAATTTTTCTTCTAAAAATGTGATACCGGAGTTAACCTAAACCACGACACAAACGACACATTTTATTGCTGATTTTCAAAGGAGTACAAGGACGACAGTACAACAATAACACAACACAAATAATGATAAATAACAACGTGAATTGGAAAATAAAAACAAAAAACAAATAACAGAAGGCAAAAATAGACCTCTCGAGCAGGTGCAGTTGATCTGGCGAGTGGAAGGAGCAGTGGAAGTGACGTCGAGGTTTGGCAAATAGCTAGGAACACAGAATCGACGTTCGAGAAGCCTCGGGATGGAGATATGGAAGTTGCAGAATGATGCTCAAAGGGAGGGTTGACCAGTTAGAGATTGTAGAGGTTGTCTGCATAATGGGAGATCGATGCCAATAGATCATCGAGTGGTTGGGGCGAACATGGAGAGAGATGAGAGGCATGTCTGTGACACGGGCAGGAACAACGACCAGCTGAGGCGAGCAGGGAGGAGTTCAGCAGCTCGTCTATGATACAAGCGGGTTCTGTGAATAGCTAAGGAGAGCAAGGAGGGAATCGAGGCTAGAAAATAGGCACCAACAGATTCTGTGAGTGACGGAAGGCGAGTAGGGAGGGTCAGCAACCTACCTGTGCAAAGCAAGGGGCACTAGAATGATCCTGCATGTATGAGGGCGAGGAGGGAAGGAGATCGGCCTATCTATGTAAAGGGGGGTGTTGACGGCTGAAGGTGAGAGGAATGGACCAATCGGAGAAAAATATCACCTTGGCAATGTACCGTCGAAGCACCGCTTATCGTCAAATATAGCCCTCTCGAGAGGTAATTCCTTCATAACAAGCCTGAAATCAGAAAATAACCAAAAATTGCTTAACAATCAACATACAACAATTATAAATAAGATGGGAGGGGAGGATAGACTAGGCAAATAGGAAAATAGGAAATGATTAAAAGACCGTAAAGGAGAAGGCAAGAATTTGAAATGTAGTCCAAGAAGCAAAGGGTTAGGCAAGGGAGGCATAATATAAGAGAAGAAGTGGAGCGGAAGTGATGATCTTAGGAATGCAGTGAAGTCTCACGCTCTCTC